CTTAATTGATTTTCCATAAAATTCGTGAGCGCCTTGCATAATCAAGTGCGCGTCATATTTCTCCAAGTTGTGTAAGATCACCGGAATAGGCGTTTGATAAGGAGTAATCTTGAGTTGAAAATTACAACTGGCGTGCGCCGGGCCCCGATATTTACCCGTCACGTGACAATGATCTATAACCTTTCTAAATTTGTTGATGGGCTTTCCGCAATCTAAGCATATCCACTCTTTGAACTCTTTATCTTTTTTACCTTCAACTTTAACTTTACGGCAAAACTTGATTTTTTCTTCTTTTGTCTCTGGTGGTTTTGGAATATCACATTGACAGTGAGATTCATCCGCCTGATCTATCAACTTTTCACAGATCCAACATCTATTACATTTTTCGTAAATTTTTTGTAACTGATCATTCCAAATCAACGGCGCTTTGTTTAAAAACGTTTCGTTTATTTTTTCTTCTTCCTGAGAAAGTGATGCTACAAAATCAACGGCTGCGTCTTGGCCTCTGTAAGTCTTTCGGCTAATGCAAACTCCATCGCATCTAACGACAGCGTATGAGTACCCGCAAGGCTTATGAATCTGTGTTTTCACCGTGTTTGTATCAGTCGGCGATAATTTTTCTAAAACAGACTCAAAATCGGCGTAAATGACAAAAGGCGCGTCTTGCTTATTTTTGTAATTTTTGAACTTGAGTATATTTTCGCCTTTGACTGGCATTTCGACTTTACACGTGGGAACTTTTAAGCCTTGACAATCTTCTTTGTGGCTGGCTAACTTTTCTTCCNATTGATCGCCAACTTATTTTGCGATTCGATACGTGGAATTTGTGAAATCGGTGTTGGAAAGCTTATGTTTGTAAAATTTAGACTGTCTGCTTCTGACCGGTAAGTCGAAGGCCGCTCATCATGTATTTTATATTTTGGATTTGTTTCTAGTTGACTTTTGACTCCGTCTGAATACAGCTTTAAAGCTGCTCTCAATGCCCATCGGATGCATTCTTGGTCTTTGTTTTGGACGTTTATGATTGCTTTTTTGTCTAACAGTTCCTTAGGCAACGGAATGTAAGAAGAACCCACCGGATTATATTTAACCACGTTGACATAAAAAGCGACAACTTTGTCAAAGATCCAACCAGAGCCTTTTTGCGTATGAGCCTCCACCTGTTCGATTTGTTCTTCGCGTTGCTTAGCAAGTGCATTTTTAACGTCGGCTTTACTCGTTACTACGTCTTGATCACTCTGAAAGGGAAAGGTGCCGTAGTCAATCGTTCCGTCAATTTTTTCCAATCTAAACCGCACTTTAAGATGTGTTTGTAATTTGTAACTCCCGATTTCTTTGAGTTCAGCCAACGCTGTTTTCTCTATCAACTGCTTGTAAAAATCAAAAAAGTGCACGAGGTCATCTTCATAGAAGCGAGGAATCAACTCCCAATTACGAAAATTATTTTTAAAACGCCATATACGTTTAATGTCTACTTCCTCGAGTTCTTCAGGTTGTGTATAAGCTTTAATCGCATCGATAAAGTCTTGTTTGACGTATCTGTCTTTGTTTGCATAAGGAATATTATATTTTTGTACCGTTTTAAACAACTGCCGATACGACTGGCGAGGCAGATGTCTAAATTGTTTTTGATCCTCTTTGATAGCGTTTATTAGTTCAAATCGTGTATGATATTTATTTTTAGGTGCCGGTAGCAAAACGTTATACCGCTTAACAAAATCTTCTAAAAACGCCTTCTTAAATCGAATAAAATATTTTAGTATTGGTCTGTGTTGCTGATTACTCATATCTCTATTTACATATAGGTTTCTAAATTTTTCTCATTTTATTCGGGTGGGATTTCTGTCACGAGTTGTTTAGCCAGCGAGCAAACGAGCGGCGCTGGGGTCAAAAGGTTCGAGTGGTGGGTGAAAGAGATTTTGGCTCAAAATGTATAATATTTAGTACCAGATTTTAGGGGGTCGATGAGGTACCCAGTGGTTTTTGCTAAAATCTTGAATTTAAGATTTTTATAAAATTCCCCGAGATTTATTGAGTCGGTGTACTACCCAGGGGTTTTTGCTGAAAACGGTGAAAAGGGGCGATTGGTCCAGAATCGGCTTTTCCCTACTACTTCTTCTCTCTACACCTATAGGATTTAAGGACTCTAACGAGAAGCTGTACGGTGGACATTGAAAACAAAGCTCAACATACCTAACTGGGCATTGTCATAAATCCGCAGATCAAACTTGCCACTGGCTCCCCCAGCGCGATAGTTAGCTACCTTGCCCGAATCCCATCTCACGCAAACACCTTTGGCTGAAAACAAAGTTCAGTGGTCCTTGTTTAAGCAAAACTGCAAACAAGGCTTAAATGTAGCAAATTCTTCAATTTAATGCAGGGATGAGGAAGGACTCGAAAGATATTGTAACTTTTCAATTTTAATTCTGTTGAGGTTTTCATTACCTAGCCGTTAAAATCTGGTCAGTTTCTGCTCCACCACCGACTTTTATTCATAAACTTAATTGACAAAGGAAACAACAACAACAACCAAAATTTGAAAGTCAAAAATAAGAAAAGGGGCCTATTTGCACCCCTGTAGCGTTTCACTGAGTCAACGAATTTTAATGACATCACGTGATACGTTAAACGTACATACCAGACAATAGAGGGCGAATTGTAGGATGACATCAAACCTTCCGACCTGAATTCTTTTGGGGTTTGCGAAACAAACTCTAATATTTGTGTCCGGGAAAATTTGCCAAAAAGAGGTCATGGTGACGAAGGTCTGTGATTCTAAGCTTGGCAACAGTGAGTCAGTGAGCAGTCTTCCCCTGCCCGCTTTTCAAAATAATAATTGAGTTAAAATGTCCTATTATTACATCCAAGGCAAAATTCAAAAGAAGACGCTTTTTTGTAACTTTGTCAACAATTAAACACTTCCAAAATCACATTGTTTGATTTTCGTATTACCAGTTCAGTGTGTCATTTTACGTGAAGGAAATGTATGGTGAGGCTGAGAAATGTTTTTCCTGAGGGTCCCTAATCATGGTATTGCTATTGGCAGTGTTCAGAGTATTCCTGCCCAGGCCATTCAACCAGGCAGTAATACGACCAGCTGACCCCTTGGAGCAAATTATGTTAGAACGGCCCCTTCCCAGCGAACACCCGAATCTATTACCTGTATATGGACTGGTCATCGTCCCCCATCATAATAGGGACCAGTACCTAGCTGCAGTTAGCTCTGTCAATTCGGATGCTGCATATTTAACTTTCTGTCAAGCCAACCGCAATGCTTTAACATGAGTTACGTTTCAGTGGGGGCGCAAATAAAACACAAGTACCATGATCCTTGCTAAGTCTCCGTTGATCACGGTGACCTGCTACCGGTCCCTTTGTTTGGAGGACGTCTGTTAGACTTCTGGAGACTACGTACAGGACGGGAACCAGTCTAGTGTTTTCTAGAGCTTGGTCTAGGTCTTCGCTCTACACGCAGAGATAGACACACATATAGACCCAGCCGTGCTACGACCGTCCCGAATTTAAAAAAAAACAATTACCTACTTCGGCATGGGGCAGCCAAGTCCTTAAAAAGGTTATTTTGCTGAGCCTATTATCATGCAAAAATGCTTGGCTTTTTGGAGGATGGGCTTACAAACAGGATAAAAGTAACACAACGATTAGAAGCAGTAAATTTTATTTTTTGTGGCAAATGACATGCGCAAAATACCCATATACACCAAAAGTTTAAAACTCAGTAGTCATTTAAGCTTAACATTATTCAAACGTAAGTTTCGCAAATAATTTGGTTTCAAACTTCGGATCATACCATCCAAATCCCAAGGCACAGGTTGTTTTCCCCAGCATTCACAATACGTCTACCCAGTGAAATCGTGGTGCTGTCGAAATTGGTAACAAATTCTATTAGCATTTCACTCATCTTTTTTTCAATACAACTGTTAGGTAAAAATACTTTTCAGACTTTAATTTGCAGTACTGCATAATTAATATAATGATGGAAAATTATTGATGAGATCTACAGTGGCCTCTTTGGCAATTTTCTAAAATTTGAGATTTTTTTGAAGTGTAGCTGCAATGAAATTTTTCTAAGACATAATTCTTCTGCAACTGTTCAGTCTCCTTCAATGTGTGGAAACTATTTTCATCTTTATTTGGTTAACTGTGTTGAACAATGCATTAAAAAATATATTTATAATTAACATCATCCGTGCGTGAAGGCGCTGTTGTGATGTCATCCAAGGAAGACATACCGTAATCCAGGGCATTGGTTTTTCTGTTAAAATAGTGAACCCAGAACACCAAAAGGAGAACAAACCAATGAGACATCGGGGCTTTCTTTCGGGGATGACATCACAGTTTGCTCATGAAAATGGTAATAAATTAGCATAAATCCAAAAAGGCAGTAAAATACCCTTCACAACACACATTGAAAATAAGGTTAACTTAGACACATAATTATGTGTATTTTGCAGGTATATTGAAGGTACAATTCCATTGCAGCTACCCTTTCAGACTTTGTACAGACTGCGCATCTCTAAAGTACCTGTACAGTGTACAAATGAAAGATTCTGTACATATGCGGACGCGTACGACGGAATGTACAGTACCTCTGCTAGCTTACTAAGTTCTCAATAGTATGCAGACTCCATAAAGACAAATGAAAGCCATGTTTGATTCAATATTTCGTTCTTTATTCAGAACATCTTCAGGAAAGAACGAAATATTGAATCAAACATGGCTTTCATTAGTCTTTATGGAGTCTGCATACTATTGAGTTATCTGAATATTATCAGTGGATCCCCTACTGGTTACTAAGTTCTATTGTCGTATTCATATGCGTGTAAATTGTTAATTAAGAAGTACGAGATTGGCTTGTTCGATCAATGTAAGTAATTGGACCTACGCCACTTTGTTTAAACAACTTATGTATCGCTAGGTGCTTTCAGACTAATTTCCTTCAAGGCATATCACTGCATGCATTCAAACAACTCCACCTGATGAGGTCATAGTAATGGAATTGAAACCGTATCACCGCAAAAGTGATCATGATTTGAAGTAAAGAAATTTGCTCTTAGACGATGATCAGTAGTTTTTTCTTGTCATATATAGACAGCCATATTTTGTCCGTTGGTTTGGCCGAAACTGACCACGGCGTTGCCGCGAAATATGATTATAATCGTAAACATGTAGTTTTGTCATGGCTAATTACTCGAACGATCTGCCCGCTATTCGTTTACGCGTGAGGCTGCTGTGTTTTCACTTGCATGGACATTCATTATAACAAATGGAATTATTCGCGGCAGTGTAAGTGCAGATTTGGCAAGCACTAAAATGCCTTAAACTAAACTACAGGGGAATTCTTTTGTAGTGACAATAGGGAGCTTTTCGCTGTATTCTTGTAATCGTTTTAAGCCACAATGAGGGGCCCGATACCATTCAAGGAATGAGAACGCTTGCGCCGGTCACACTGAAATCAGCACCAGCGATATCGAGCTTCGGGGCAGTTCTGTTGCTGTCTGCAAGCAAAACCAACAAATGAAAAGGAAAGCGAATAGAAAAGGAAGAAATGGGAGAAGTAAAAACGAGACGTAGTCTATCTTCAAATCTTTTCCCTTACATTGTGCGAAATCCTCTGTCCATTGATTTACGCAAATCCATGACTTGGACATACATTCTACACGGTTTATCATAAGTAAGCTTATTTATATTTTCTAGGATCTAAATCAGTAAAAGTGCTCTCATGAAAGTTGTTCATAGCCCAAACAGAGTAGGTCGTGTACAAAAACAGAAACGGTTTGTCCATGAGCTATTTATTACTAAGTGCCGGATCTTCGTCGGTAACAAAATTCAACCAATAACAAAGGAGAATCCGAAACCATTTTTTTTGGGGGGGGGAGGCGCAAACTATGTTTTTGGGCCATAAAGCATGTTTTTCTCCATGTAACTTTGTATGGCCTTTCTGGAGGGTGAAACTGCATTTCCGGGCTTTTTGAAGAAGAGATGAAACATCATCGTCATTTTTTCTGGGGCATGGCCCTGTTGGCCCCCGGATCAGCCCTTAACCAAAATTTGACTTGGCTTTATATCTAACTTGTTTTTAGCTGATATTTCAACAAAAGTAGTGATGTTATTTGCACTTTACAATTAAATGGTACATACTCGTTTTTCACAGAATTCCGAAGACCCGAACTATTTACACAACTACATTAAAGGCACGTATAGAATAATAAGGAACATAATTTTAAGCGGGCCAAATTCTAAACAAAAGACTTTCTGTAAAGTCAGAGAACAAATTTGATTACAGAATAACATGGATTGGTTTTCTGTGATAAAGGGAAAAAACATCAAATTGCAGATCGAGCGCCAATTGTAGCAATGCCTAGCATCCTGCGTTCATACATCTGAACTTCTGAGTGTACAATACAGGTAATAATACAATACATATATTTTCTATCCATCTTTTAACTGAACAGACTCATGCTTTCCAAACACCATTTCTATAAATGGATATGGGAAGTGTACACCTTACTTGATCAACTTTTTGAAGGCGCTGGGTTTGCAGCACAAGTTCTTTTTCTCTTAAAAACACGAGGCCACATGATGTGATGTAGCTTTTTGGATCGTTATTTGTAAGTAAGAGTTTTTAAAAAGCTTACAAAGAAAATCAGTGGACTGAAGTTAAGCCATATTTTAAGACAATGACTGTAGATTAAAAAACAATGCTGCCATCAAGAAAGCTGTAATAAGCTTTTAACCTTCTGAGTGGGGGCACATGCTACTGTCATATTTTTTATCAAAATTGCACTGCCTTAAAATGCATTTGACCCATAAGGTTAGGATCTGAGTTACAAAAGATAAGGTTTGTTTTCGATCCACACACTGATATTGTGTCTTGAATTGGTTATTAGATTCAGTAAACAGGGTTTTCATCAATTGTTGATGCATTTTAATGTCAACATCATGTAACGTTAGAATCTGGCAATATTTGCAATGTGTATTCTCAGTTGACATTATGCCATCATTCTATCGTCACCAAATGCATTTAGCTGACTTTACAGTTGTCATTTTTGGATGTCGTTGCCCGTTCAACCCTGGAACAAAAAACATAAATCAGTGCTGTGAGCAGTGCTAGCTTTCCATGGAGCAATGAAATGTTTTTGATATCAGCAAATCAGATGTGTTCATATTCCAGCTGTGTTGCTGCATGCTTTTGCAATCTGGCAGTGTTTTAATTGCATGCATTAATTAATTGCATGAGTCGGGCTCCATGCACAAGTCAACAAGTGGTTCTCACCTAAACATGCTCCATGATGCATGATACCATCTGTATCTTGTGCGAGGAGTATCTAAGAGATGCCAATGATCTATCCAGTTCAAGGAGCAAATATAAAGGAAAACTAGCTTACAAGAAATGAAGTGTGAAAACAGCCTCACCTTTTCAGTTGGTAAATATCCTTAAGTAGCTTCTCAACCCCAGGATTAAGGGTGACATCAAGCACAGTGCTCCCTTTTTTATTCCTGATGTTGATGTCGGCGCCATTTTTAACTAGGTAGACTGCTATGGCAACCAGGTTGGATCTTTCGTCAGAGGAACTGCCTTCACGGCCTATTTGTTGAACCAGGTCCAACAACTAAAATAGTCACGAAAATGTTGCATGAGTGTTAGACTATGGCCAAATATCAAAATGCAATTGGGGCAGTGTGTGTGACATCGCAAAGCCAACATTTACGTTCACATCAACTGATACATAGATTTAGTAGTTGACTATGCAGCTTTCAAGTAAAACTTGACATTGCATTTATATCTCGGCAGAAGATTGCATATACTGTTCCCTAAAAAAGCCTTAAATTTCTTAGAAACTCAACCAGTTGTGGTCTGCTAGCATTTCAACATTAATTCAAAGCAAACTTGGGCTTCTATTTTTTATCGATCTTCTATGTTATCCCCTGGCACAAAGTCAGAGTTTTGTGTTCCCACAGAAAATACAATTTCATCATCTCGATTTGCTGTATTAGTACCCTTATTTTGATTTTTATGTCCATCATTATGTAATCTGTTACTTCATTTTCCTCTTGGTCATTCCACCAGGTTATCTTTTGTTCAGTGTGACCAACTTCATCTATATTTCCTTTACAGGTGTACTAGACCCTAGTGCCAGCAAATTATATGCATGTACACAACTGTTTCAATGCAGGAGTGACCTTCTACTGCCATCAAACATCCCAAGGTATTCCTCTTAAATAACCCACTGGCTTACCTTTCCCATTGGTGTACACTGCATGACGTCTTTCATGGAAGCTTTCATCATGATCAGATGAAGACTGGTGTCACCATCTTTGTCCTGGGCATTCACGTTAGCACCATTATTAACGAGAGCCTCAATGCACTTGTTGTGTGTCTTATCTATGGCCAGATGCAATGCCGTCTGCTCATTAATATTCTTCAATTCCTTGTTGCAGTTGCCCTTGGTGAATGAAATGAGCTTCAAATGAGTGTACTTCCAGTATGTTGTTTAGACGTATGAAATTTAATCCTTTACACATATTACGTGTTCCCATCCTAGATTACTATACACCTGCATATTCTTATAACAAAATTAATTTTGATTTGTCAAAATTAATCTTAAAAAATGACAACATTTTAGAAACAACCATTTCCTAAAAAGTGTTTGAAAAAGCCAAGGATGACATTTAGACCTGAAGAACGTACCAGAGTAGACCAATCCACTGAGCCCTGCCCTATAGTATTCTAAACACAATCACTCAATCACTCAATGATATGATTTAAGCCTGACATTCATTCTCACAAGTATGACGAGCATGGCTAGAATATGCAGTGTACTGAGAGAGTTAATGGCCAATGTTTGCGATGAAAGCTTGGCCTATTGAATAAGTCTGTTTGAGAGGTAGTGTCACGAACCTTGAAAAAGGTTTAAATCATCAAATTTCTAACCCTCGCTTCAGTTTCAAAAAATATTGAGGGCAGGCAATGAAATGAATGTCAATTAGAACAGACTGCACAGACAACGAAAACTTGTCATCATTCAAGTTATCTAAACTGCAGCATTCCACCTGTCATCTTGACAAGATAAGTCCTAGACTAAGATAGATGCATGTGTAACAGGGAAAATGGATCACTATAGGGAATTCGCAAAACAACAAACACTCTAACTAAACCAAGCATCTTTGAAAGAAAACTCGCAGGAAACTGAATTAACAAGGACTCAGACACCAATATTTGAATTAAAAAAAGGACAAAAAAAATTTGTTAATGAAAAAATACAGGAAAAATGAAAAAAAAACCTAAAAGGACTCAAGGACTAAAAACAACACCAAAAGACTAAAACTTTAAAAGACTCAAAACCCAAACCCAACACAGTGCGTAAAATGGACCTTATGAGTTTACACTCAGACTTCAACCACTGAGTTCCAGCAGAATAGGGCTCAAGCAGAAAAACCAGACTCCAGTTAGGAGGAACAATACATAGGTGCATTTGAAGGTGACTGGTCTCTGCTGATCTGCTACACTGAGTGTGACCAGACCATGTGGTAACTCTACATGGGGGAAGCTGGGGCTTAAACAAATAAACAGGGGGGCACACTACTAGAAAAAAATCAAGAACTCTAAATTAAAGTTAAACATTTTTAAAGGGGAACTACTTCTACGTAAAAACGTGTTCTTAATAACATAAACATTTCTGGCTCTGCCAAACATGCCATCTTGTCAGCCTAACCAACAAGACAACTTCCTGTCATTATAGACATCAATTAATCTTGTCATCATGACCAGGTTTTTGTTTTCTGTGAATTACCTGTTTAATGAGGGTCAAAATGATATCTGGAAGGCCGTTGAGGGCAGCAAGGTGTAGTGCCGTGAAGCCGTCCTCTTTTGGAATGTTGACCATGTTTGGTGAGGCTCTCAGAATAGCCTCCACAGCACTGGAGCAATGAAATGTAGTTGTCATATTAAGCCCAATTCCTAATACGGTTCATAAGTGGCTCTGTCACAAAGGCAGATGTGCCACAATTGGCAGGCTCCCACAGGATGATTGCTGAAGTTGTGCGTTAACTTCCGGTTCCATGGTTGCATGTAAAAGGCAATCAATGCATGCAACACTATGTGCAGTACATGTGCAGTGGGCGTGGTTTAAACTGAAGTGACGTCACACTTACGAATTGGATACTGGTCTTCTGAATGAGGCACATGAAGCATCAGTACCAAGTTACACGATCGAGGTGAGGTGATCAGTAGGATGCCCAAGGGCAACTGTTTTTGTTTTTATTAGTATCATTTGGTTTCCAAAGTTTATCTGATATGTCACCCTTTCAACATGGGCTTTGATTCTGCACTATTGGTCTGGCATAGTCTTGACTTCTGCCCTTCATGCCTATTTAAAAGAACCTGAAATAGTCATGGAGAACTAGAAGAATCTTGTAGCACGAGAACAAAAATTTTATACCCTCCACTTAAATTCGTCGGTCGTACCACGATCTGACCTATCTAAGATTATGACGTTCCGAGATAAACGCGTTTGAAGTTGTGCCTGTTTTGCATGCTTGATTTCTTCTTCAATTTTTTTTTTTACTGACTCAGAGTTTATACATAATACAGATGGAGAGTTCAATTGTGATATTCAATTCTTTCCAAGACGGAAAATAACCAATACTTCAGTAAAAATAAGTGCCAAAACCACATGTCACTTAGTGGAAATTTTCTGCCCATACTTCGTCTGCAAAAACAGTGACCTATGCAGATAGGTCACTTCGTGAAAAGACAAATTTGTGTTTGTCTCCCAGTAAGAGTGGTCTATGTCCATTGCGTATGCGCACATAGATCTTTTTGTATGTGTCGGGCAGGAACTTACAACCTGCTGAAACTAAATGTTTCCTTTTCTAAGATCAGTAGATTCATCAGTGATACAGCGATGCTTAGCACTGATTTGGGTCCTAATATGGGGGAAGTACTGGAAAGGGTAACTGAAGAAATGAAATAACTTTAAAATAACACTGTTTTTGGCTGCTATGGTGCTAAGCCAAATTTCAATGACAATATTTGATGATTGTCTCATGATAGACTGACAAAACAAAATGCACAAAATTTCGTTCATTTCCAGGAAAATTTGTTTTTAATCAAAAACAAGAATTATCAATATCATTAAAAACGCAATCAAGTTCATCGCCTTCCATCATCAACACCCGCCTTAAAAATTTTCCAAGTTCATTTTCAATACACACGATTATTATGTAAAAATTCAACGTTTTTCATATAACAGTGGTCAAATGCACAAATTCAAAAGAACATTTTCACCTGGCCCCATAAAAATTGTTTTCTATTCATTTAAATCTTCATTTGGCAATACAAAAACAGAAATTTTGATTTATTAATAAAACAATTATCTCGTAAGATGACCTAAATGTGTGTACGATTTCAATTCGTTCAATGTATTTCCCTGAGTAAATTTTATGAAAATATAGTTCATGCAGTTTACAATTAAATTGAGAACATAATGTTTATGTTCGTTTAAGCAGAGACGTTAGATTTATTTGAATTCATAAAAATGAAACCTTTAATCTGTTCGCCAGTTTTGTCCCAATATTTATTGAAGCGTCATTAATAATAAATCAATGACATTCAACATCTTGAAATTAGCATTGAAAATTTGATACGTTAAATGAAAGTTATGTAATTTCGGCCTATGTAGGTTACATCTTTGAGTTGTTATGTGAAGTATTGATCTAAACTCAAGTGACAAAATACTTGCACCACTAGTAATCGTAAACCCTTCATCAGTGATTTAAAACAACACTAATAAGTAAGTTTTGAAATTCCTAAGAACTTCCGGTATATATGACTTTATTCGAAGACATTCAACCATCGCCCCTGTGATTCTTGAACTGAATCTTGAAAATAAAAGTTCAAAAATCAAAGATATACACAGCTTCATGAACAGCGGTCTACACACTAACTTTTAATTAATGCAATTACAGAAATGTCTGATACTTAATACAAGCAAGACTACCGCATTTCCACTTAACAGAGATCTGTTGGCAGAATTTGGTTGCAGGAAACACGCTGTGGTTTAATGTGGAAGGTGTCGGTGGAAGGCAATATGATCTGAATGGAAAATTACCCGTGTTGAGCCCTCACAAAGACTCATCAGGTCACTGTATTTTGCCTCAGGTATTTTTGGCGAGCTTCCTTTGGCACAGCCTGGGTGGGTATTGCAAGTGTTTTGGAAGTGTGTGCCAATTTCTCTCTTCCAAATTAACTGTGTCGAACTTGTCCTCCAAGAGGGAAAATTTGACCATGATCTTTTGGGGTAGATTTTCCTCACTTCAACCTGCATCACTTTCGTCCAATCTACATTCTTACCCACTAAAGTGGTGTACATGTGCAAAATATGCATGGTTTGACTGAGTGCCTTCCAATCTCGAATGTCCTGCGTTTGTACTTCTGTGATGTGATATTTGTCAGGGGTCTTTCTAGCACCTTGAATCAATGTTGCAAGCTGACAGGGAACAGGTCTGCAGCCCCCTTCAGGGTTCGCTCGACAGTACTATAGATTGAATCTTCCTCACTTTGACCATGATTGGTCTCGCAATAGTAGTGTTATTTTGATCAGTGACAAATTATTCTGCACCAAGTACATGTACAGAAGCATGGCTGGCAAGATGAAATTTTATTCTGTCCTATACACCCATCGCTGAAAAGGGCAACTTCTTCTGTTCCTTTACTGTCAAGTGTTGAGAGGTATTTGTACAAATTAGATGCTATTTTATTCGCACCACATTTTGCTATTCCTTCATGATGAAGGAAGCAAAATCCTGATCTACTGTCCAATTCATAAACTGTGAAATTATAGCAGGCAAGCCTCTGTTTATAAAACAGTGATCCTCTTCCAGACCAAGGAAGGTAGATCACTTGTTGCAGATCGTAAAGAGATGCTTGGAACTTTCGTGGATCCAAGAGAGCCTGTTCTTTTTTTCTGACTCTTTATTTCTCTCACAGCAATTTTTTCTTGAGTGTGCCTGATGTATTCTTTATGGAGCTTACCTTTTTCGGTATCATTACCCTTGTGGTAGGTTTCACATATCCCACGTGGATCTTTTTTGGTTTTATGAAATTTAAGCTTCATGCCATGCAGTGTTTTAGCATTGAAACTCAGAGAAGCTTTTGCTTAGGGTTCTCAGCCAGGCACAGGTCATACATTCTGTTTATGTTCAAGTCGCTTGACAGATACTGAAATGTTGTGGCTTGGCGGCAATAATGACACTCCATTTTAGGAAATCTGTTAATGTGATGTTCAACTTCCTTTTTGAGAAGTTGATCTTTGCCTTTTGACTGTTTCCTCCTCTTCTCTCGGCTGTGAGAATGTTACATGGACCAAGTTTACTTACAACAGTTCTAACTTGACGGTCTGAAATTCCAATTGCACTGAGAAACATGATCTTGCAAACACGGCAAAGTGAGTTATCTTTACCTTTAGGGAGGTAAAAATGTGAGACCCTCTTCTTGCGTGTACTACTTGTTGGGGATGTTGTTTCAATATGGCGTGCTATTCATTGTTTCTGTGCTTGCAAATTACTGCTAGAAAAAAAGCACCCCCAATGGATTGACGGTCTTCTTCAGAAAATTTATCGCACTCAAGTTTTCTGACGTTGCAGAACAATGAATTACACCTTGACCTAAGTTTTGTCTTTCTTCCTTCCTTAAACCTGTGTGTTTTCTCTGTATAGTAGCACTCTCCATCATTTCTCTTTTGCTTCACAGTTTTATTTTTTGCCTGACTATGTGCAGTTTCGGTTACCTCACTCACATCAATTTTTGGACCCCCCTCTTCTTCAAAACTTTCTGGGACCTGACAACCAAATCCTGGCGAGGTTTGTGGGTCATTTCGTACACCATCAGAAAAATCCACAGGTGTATTCATTTCACCGTGGACGTCATCAGAAAACACATTTGCCTCAGGTTGTGTTTGTTTTTCAGCGTACTGTATGTTCAATTCCTTATTAGATCCAGAATAAAGAAAGAAATATTCATTGTGTGTATCACAGGAGGATGAACTTATAAAATGCGCAAAACACAAGAGACATGAGCAACTCGCGCATGCAGCAAATGTCTCTTCATGGCAGTTAAAATTGGAGCAGGTTTAAGCCCTTTCTCCTTGTTGAGCTGGCCCAATGGCATCTGACGGAACCTTTGATTTTAAGAATGCTGTTGTTGAGGCTGCAAGAATATAAATTCATAGACTTTCAATCAACACTAACTCAGTTACAAATAAACAGCAGTGGTAAAAACCTCTAAATCTCAAACAGGTAAACCTATAAACTAGGGTAAGAACTTGTGGTAAGAAATATGTGGGTAGAACAAAATGGAAAAAGACAAGTTTAGTTTAAGAATGCTTGTGATTAGACTTCAATTTCAATGAGAGTAATGGAATTTACATGAAAAGTTTAGAAATCAAAAATAGAAAAATTATTGTTTTGAAAGAATCACTTACTTTTTTCACCTGAGACCAGTCTACTTAGAGGTTCCTTATCAGAGCTGTCGCCCTCTTCTTCCCCTGATCTCTGTCATCGCTGCTTCGTTGATCTCCAGTACTAGTGTTGCTGACTATATCTTCACTGTTCTCTTAAAAAGGCATGGAAGAAGCTTTTTAATGAACTTGGCAGCTCAAAAAAATTGTTTTATTTATTGGAATAGCATTTCAACTAATAAACTGGCAAATCAAGAAGCTCAGCTTTCCAACATATCCTCTTCACAAAACTGATGCACCCTTCCCCCACTGCATGAAAATGCTATGCAACTATACAATTCCCCCCCCCCGATAAGCAATGTTACCTGTTGTCTCTTCAAAGTCATTAACTTTTACACTCTACCACCTTCCTCTATTTCATCTTCACAGTCTGATTAACGTGAAGTGGAGGTCTGTATTTCAGATCAGTTGAACTGACAACATTTTTGCTACCACCACTGCACAAGCACATCCATGATCTGTAAGAACGAAACAAAAACAAAAATCTCATCAGCAAGTATCATTAATGACTAAATACCTTCTACTACCGGTACGTTCAGTGTAATAAACCAAACTAAAAATTTGTCACTGATATGGACAATACTTATTGTCAATGGTAACTGACCATCATCTTAGGTAGTACAAGACCCAAATCCATGCACCCTTAACTCACTGGTCATTATGAATATGATACCATCGTTTTGGCCAGTTGTAAGAGCAACAAAACTATCTTGGCTCATACTTTAAAAATACTTTTAATTTATTAGGTCATAACTGTGCGATGTTAGAGCCCTAGAGTCATCCATAATTGCAATGACAATGAAATGTTTGCACCTATGTAGGATTCAGTAAGAATCTATTTTTATTCAGCCCCGCTTAACATACATCATGTCACTGTGTGTCAATGACTGTTTCCTGCTGGCCACATTTGACAATAAAAAGCTAGGCTAAATGACTGATCTTAAATGGACTGGCAATATTTGGGGAATCGGGTAATCTAATCCTCAAAAAGGACAGTAACCGATGCATTGGGGCTACATATGAACTCAGCTGGACAGTTGCTCTATTGTGAAATGAAGGATACCGTTGATTTGAAATTAATTATATTGTGCTACACCTGCAAAAAACTTGGCATCATTGCTAGCTTTGGCCTACAAGTACTACTAGGCCTAGGGCCCTACCCTGTGTGCAGATCAGGCCTGAATCAGGAGTGATTTACTCATATTCTAAGCTAGATTATAATTCTTGTGTTAAAAGTACATTACGTAAATACAGTTTAGAAAAACCTTGCCGTTTGCTTCGCTAAATTGGTTGAAATACTCACAGAATGATGCCATAGAATGCCCAGCTACGTGCTCATCTCATGGTCAATGGCAGTGTATAATGTGCATCGTACGTACGTAAACCGCGAACGCAGTTTGATTACCTGACTAAAAGCTGAATGTTTTCACTCCATTGTTTTACATGAGCATTTTCCAGTTGAGTCAACATACTAGACATGACCTTGTAATAGATGAGGTCAACTTCTCATAATGTCACTTTGTGGTGCGCCATTCCATACAAATTGTACAGAGTGGGAGGGACACACGCAGTTGTGACACTTCGTGAAACCAAGACATGCAAAATTATTTTTTTCACGAAGCGACCTATCGCAGTGAAATATGAATTTCGTAGCGCAACCTTAGCGACGAGCATCCGGTGGGAAGCAGAGATCCATAAAAGGCCTCCCAAAACAGCACTTTTTTTCTTTTTGAGAGCATAACTTTGGAACACTCAGTGTTTTCAATTTTGTTCTTTCGGCAAGTTGGATGTTCATTAGTCCTTCTTCTTATAGTATACAAGTATCAATTTTGAATGACTTAAAACCTTGTCAAGTTTCAAAGAGAAAAAATCTATATCTGCATTCTTACAGCGGCGTAAACAATTTTCAGGCCGATTTCTGTCACACCTCGCCTCATCGCAAATTCATAACTTCAGAAGCCCTCTACCTATTTGTTTCGTTTGAGCTCTAAGATAAAGAACACAAGTTTGTCTGAATATGATGTTAAAATCAAGCTGATTGTCCGATATTAACGCCCATCCATTTTAGCTTGAACTTTTTCTCCAACCAGAAAGATCATTTAAAACCTTATTAGAACGTGAATATCCATAGTTCAATTCCCGTCTTCACGGATGAACAAACACCTCACAGACCTTGCGTGAGATCAGGGCCCACACAGAACCCTACAGGCGGATATATCCTTTCTTGTAGTTTCTTAAGTGTCGAAATTTACTCCAAGGAATTGATATGTCGTTTTATGAAATAACTTATTAATTTCTTTTGCAATGCACCATTGCACTCATTAGCAAATTTAGTATATTTAGCTAATTATTTTCTTCCAAATTTTCTCAAAATGATTCTGTTGATGGATATTTTCAAAATTTGATAAAAACCCATTTTGACCAAAAATTGAGATCAGATCGTGGTATGCCCGACAAATTGAAAGGTTATGGAAAAAAAACTTACTACAAATTTGTGGTCATAACTGCATTATGAAGACTGTTGAAGCCATTCTTGTTGGTCAGTCTCAAATCTATACATTGGTGCTCAACAAGCAACTTGACAATGGGCTTGCTCTTTGACCGCATGGCCAAGTAGAGTGGCACATTTCCTGCTTGGTCCTGCAAACAACAGTAACAATTCGTCTTTATTAGACACACAGAAACAACAAAATATGTAACTATAAACAAACTGTATAGCTGTTGGGGAATGGAAACATTTGACATCTTTCTTTACCATTGAATGTATTAACTATTGGTCATGGTAAGTTTAGCACAAGTTTTGCATGATTGATCTACAGAGCCCACTTTCATTAAGCTGCTTAACAGTTATTACTTTGACTCACTTTGCAGTTTACATCACATCTACTTGGCATCGGTTTAAGCAACACTTCCACGCATGTCTGGTGACCTTTGGCAGCAGCCAGGTGGAGTGGAGTCAAACCCTTGTTGTTGGCTGCGTTCACGTTGCTCCCAGCAAGCAGAAGATGTTTGACGATGTCTGGCTTGTTGCTGTTTGGAAAATAGCGATTTACTGATAAAAAAAATTACTATATCCTATGAAATGAAGACATAATCACCACTGGCCAGCTGGACCTGATTTCTACAGGTGCTGAGTAATTTGGGCTGACAACCAGCTACAAGAAGAAATACATGGAATGGGTAACCTGCTTTTAATATGGAATATTTCCTATCTGCATGTTTATAGTTGCTCCAGGAAACTCAGTAAAGTACACAGTTGAGCATTGCCTGTAAAACCATTTGCTATTAGGGTTAATTGAACTCTTAACTTTACTAAGCTATACTTTTTAAAGACTTTCGGAATGATTCCATAAAATGTGATATAATCAGTGCATCCTTGATAACACAGAGCTGAAAAAATGGTTGCGCACCCAAGTACTGCATAAGCAAGTGCTGTATCTCCATCTTCATCCTCAAGTTCAAGTGGTGCTTTAGCTCCAACCAAAGTAGAAACTACATCCATGTGACCACGATGAGCAGCTGCCTGGAGTGCTGTCTGTTTCTCATCATTCTGAAATTTCACCTGAAAAATGAAAACAACAGCAATAAGAGAATATCTTCAATTTGCTTATCTATTACTTAACTGTATGCTTGAACAAAAGTAATGCAAGTGCTACACAGAATAAACACTGTGAAATCCGATTTCCATGTCTGCATTTTCAGTGTGCTTCCTGCATTATTAGAGAAGGCTCATTACAATTGTACAGGAGTGAAATGTGGATGTGGATTTGGAACAGACCAAATATGTACATAAATGAAAGCTGCCTCAATGCAGCTCTTCACACAAAATGGTAGACATCTGATGATGAATAGAAATACAGGTCCGTTTTTGAACAGATGAAGAATGTTGATGCTTCTATATAATATACAAACACAAATTAAATATTTCATCAAATAAGACATATTTGTAAGACTCCCATTTAGAATGAGACAACTGTGTTTTATTCCAGATTGAGAAAGGAAAACATTATATTATAAACAATATATGTAAAATAAACATTACATAATATTTGTATATTAACGTTTAGAAATTAAGTGAACATGCCCGTAGTCTTCACAAGGCACTTTTGTCAAAGTGACCATGGATCTCTGATAATTGTCTACAGACAATGACAGACATGATTTATGCTGAAAGTACATCACATTTATTTTCAGGACAGCCACTATAATACCAACATCTTTGTAAAAATTGCCTTTCCATTCTCACCGTATGATATGATTATAAGGTCTTTCATCAGTCTAGCATGAGACCTGGGCCCAACTTCACGTCACCATTAATAATGCCAGAGGCTCTACGTATTTCATGGAGACTGTGAGCAGTAAGCACAGCAAAAGGCATGCTCACCTTGGAGGAAAAATTTGCTTATCTTGGTGATGTAACAATGGATAATATGCATGGAACTGCTTTAGCACAACAATGTCATGTAATAGTTAAGGATAGCAAATTATCCTGCCATAATAATCACGACATTACTGCTCACAGTTAAATAGTGCCATGATTTACTAGACCCTGGACATGATTTCAAAGCATTTGATTCAAAGTGAATTTTGTGCTTCCAGAGCAACCAAATCTTTCATGTATGGAGAATGTAAGGCAACAGGTTCAGCCAAAACAAACATGCTCTACCCAGAGAACAAGTTGCTTAAAGCAGTGACAAAACAATACAGATCTCCATGCATGAGCAACTTTTTAGAACAATGTCTCTCACGAAACAGCACAAGCAATAGGGTTTTTTGCTGTTGGTAAGAACAACTTTGGTACTAAATAAGCAGTGCTGTGACATCGGTCCATGCATTTTACCAAGGCACATACAGGACCTACAACAGTGGACGGTGAACATTTTTTGTGGGGGAGAGGGGGAATTACAGTTTCTAAAAGCATGCTCACTGCATCTGGGTGATTCTTGATGATCTCCCGCACTTTGTTGGTGTTGCCGGTAGCTGCTGCCTGAAAGAGAGCAGCTCCGCTCGATGCATCAGATCCTCCTAAAAGGTCCCCAAGTTTCTCCAGCTCAGACTTCAGGACAAGAGCAGCGAGCAAATCACCCAGATCTTTAGCAGAGCACAATGAGAGATTCCTCGATCACCATCAAAAACTCAAATTAATGACAGAAACATAAAGATAATTTTTCTATGGTTTACTCAGGAAACATCTCAGGCTCCTGAGTCATTTCAAACACTTAACTATTCGGCAAACTGAAAGTTCCCCTGGAGTTTGCTGTATAAACTGTAGTCAGTTGGATGGTTCTGGTGAAAAGCGTGGAACTTTACTGAACTAAAGAGTGCATTCATGCAGTTGAAAGAGAAGCCTGAGACTGAACCTTTTTGATAAAGCTGACCTTTGGGAAAAGCTAGAATGTGACACTCAGTAGGTATTAATGGCTCAAACAGTCATGCCTTCTTTAGTGAAGAAATAGGACCAGCAGCATCTTGTAATTAAGACTTCATCAGCTGCACGCTCTGGCTTCGCAATAAGGGTCTATTTTTGATAGGTTGATCTGGTATCAAAACAACACATTCAAGAAGACTGTGATATTATAACTTTGAAGCCATCAAATACTGTGTTGGTGACAACAACAGTTTGTTTGATGGGTTGGGCACCCACAGTTTTGAGAGTATCCACCAATTACCATCAGTGCTACGTGGATTCCTTGTTGTAGTCTCAACCTCTTTTTTCTTCTCCATGGAGAGGCACAATGGATTAATAAAGTAGGATGATCCTCCAAAGTTGATCTTCACATCTCCATCCCTATCAACCATAATGACTTCTCCAACTTTTCCAAGGTACTGAGGTGGAAACAATTGGAAACCCTTTGAATTTCACAAAAGTCTTTATAGGTTTTGGGCAATTACTGAGAATGCATTACTAAACTTTCACCAAAATACAAATGATCAGTGAAGAGTGCAGGGTGTATGCCTATAGGTTTCCCTAGTTAAGCACACTGTCACGGAATTAGTTTCAGAATCCTTCATTTTAGTGTCAGTTGAAATGCAGATAATGATCATTGTTCAATTAATTAGGAAAAACATACAGTTTACTTTTTTGAGCATGTGGTCCAAACAGCAAACAATGAGAGGTCTTTTGGACTATGCAGATTTAATAGCATAAAAATCGGAACATCAGAAATGGAAACCATGAAGAACAAATGATTGGGACCTAAAAATTTCCTTGTCATACATGTAAGCAAAATGCTGTATTAACAATGCTCTAATTAATAAGGTTAGACTATTCCACAGAACAGCATGAGCAACTTGTGTGACTATAGTACATCCCATATGAAGTTGGATGCATGAGTAAGAAAAGGCAAACGTGGCAAAAGGTGCTTAGTTTATCGAATGCACAAAAATGCAAAAAAACCTTATGTGTTATGTGGTGAGAAGACATATTTTGTCCAGCCCAACCCTACGATATTTACAGACAAATACAGTTGCCAAGTCACAGAGCTGATTAAATTCTTAGTTACATGTACATGTTCTCTGTAAATCTAAAACATATTGCCTCATAAAGCAAACATCTTTGAAGAGGTGACTGTAACTCCAAAAAGACTGGCACACTGTGTACTGTTTCAGAGAGTCAGTCTCTCGTGTTGGCTTACACATGAATTTCACTGCTGCTCAAGTCTGGCTGTATCCATTTTTGGAGTCTCATACATGTAATTCCACTTCATTTTGAACTTACGTCGTTGATTTCTTCATTCCAGCCACACCTCTCAAGCTGAAATTCCTTCAGCTTGCCTGGGTCCATGTCCAGCAAGCGGACCTTATCACCAGAGTCCAAGTAGGGGCGAACCCTGGCTGCATCTGTTTTGGCACAAAAATCAAAAATAGACTCAGTTCTTTGTATGTGCACTCCAATGACAGGTAATACCCTTGGGTAAATTCTTATCCCATGGCATAATTTAAGGCCTGAAAACATACACTGGTTGACTAACTTTAGGATACAAAACTGTGAGTTTTAAAGAGTCATTTCACATAAATGCTTGTCAAACATATCCATGGTCAAAAATTTATTTTTTTCAAAAGGGTATCCAGGCTGATTTCAGCAAAAATCCACTCATTTTCATCAACAAGCATGCATTCACATTCGCATGCAACAATTTGGTTTGTGTTGGGGTTTCTTTTTCCCTATCCTGACATTCAAATTTGTTTTCGTACACATAATTTTCTAGCTTTACCATTCAGTTTCATTTCCGTCATTCTACTTCATTTTTGACCATTCAAAACTACACTATCAGCATTTTTCAGTGCAACAGGTGCAGTCAAATTAAAACTCATTGATGCACATAGGAACTTATATATGCACATAATTTTCTTTTTTTGTTAAATCAGCATTCAGTTTAGTAGTATTGGAGAAGTTAATGCTATACATGTATGTCTTTCACTGTAAGTCATTCTGCGTGACATTCAAGTTCCACAATCATTTTAATGATTGTGAATGATTTCTTTGTGGGCCTTCATTTCTTGTTTAAATCTATGCCTATTTCTCAGCATTATTACCCTGGATACCCTTAATCAGCTTTTCCTAACCTATGATGCACACTTTTCAGTAAGAACCAAAGCCACCACAATTTTTGTAAAAAAAAGTCTCAAGAACCAATGTTAACCTTTTTTTTAATATCAGGTTTTATATAGGATCGACAAAGCGCGCTTATCACTGATGTAAACTTGAATTCCCACAAGTGAAACGAGATTGCATATTCACAAAACAAAGACCCGATTAACCCCTTTTTAAAGTCCTTTGATGCGAACCAACAAAATGACTTTGGAAATTTGAATGAACCTGAAATACTCGATAACCAAATCAAATGCCTGCTTCTGATTTTCAAATACTGTTGTGTGAAGGATCATTCTTTTTGAAATGAATTTAGATGTTAAATTGAATTAAATTTTGCTGGAATTGGCCAAGAAAAATTACACTTTATGGACTAATCCAATTAGACACCATAACTGTGGTGGCACCTCACTCACACGCATGTTGTTAAGCTTGATCCACGTCTGTTTTTGGCAAATTATGACATCCTGTACTACCTGTCCGAAAGCATTGTGCCACCGCAGTAATGGCTTCTAGCTCATTCTGATTGGCAATTACTCTATAGGATGAACTGATTTTGGGTGCAAGTAAACAAAATACACACGTAGGCTTTTCAAATCCATGCATAGATTGTTACCATGGAAACAGCTCGTTTTGTGTTTTTGCATTTTAGGAAAAGCATACCTTGCTTTGTGTATAATTTATTCAAACTGAGAAAATCTTTAAATGCACAGCAGGATACAGTTGCCAATTAATTTTTCTCACTATATATGAAAAATTATATATTTTTTTCATTATGTATGAAAAGGTAAATGTTGGCCCTAACCATAACTAACTTGAATGAAAATATTCGGAGACCCCTGGCAAATTGACATTTCCAGGGGCAAAACTAGTATAAAAATGTGAAGTTTGCAAGTTCTTGAAATATACATGTATTTCAATGCGGGCTATAAAAAAGAGATTTTTTTCTCAAGGATTATACCTTAAAGTGTTACATGTAGCTTTGTGAAAAAAGTTTACATTTTGGTTTGGTGACCTTTTAAATGAAAGCTAAAAACCAGTTTTTCAGAGCCTCAAATTGGCTTTAAATGCCAAAACCACAAAATGTGCATTTCCATGGCAACAGGCTACATAATATTTCGAAAAGGTCAATCTTGTTTAGTACTTACATCCTATAGTGTACTTTAAAATTTCATTGTTTGACACATATGTTAAGTATTGACATGAAATGACTCTTAAGACGGAATAAATAGGAAGAGGAAACATTGTTGGTAGGAGTTTTATGAAAGTGTAGTTTTTATTTCTTCTGACACTGAACTGGTGTTCTCATCCATTCAAGAGGGATGGACCCCTTGATTTTCTTACCAAGCCTTGGGAGGTGATGAATGTAGAACTCTCCTGTGGTATCCTTCTCTGTGTACCGTAAGTCCTGCTTCCCCTGGTGACCCCGCCGGTATTGATTGGTGGTGAGGTTGGGCCACTGAACTGTAACCCAAGAACGGTGTGTTCCCTGTCCACCACTGACTTTGCACACGGTACCCACTATACCGTCGCCGCCTGTCAAAATTGTCACAAGTAAATTGTGAAAAAACAGATATCAATAATATGTAAATAGCCAGCCAGTTATGTGCAAATAGCCAGCCCAAAATCTTGCAAAAAAGATAACATGCCAAGTTTTGTGTATTTGATGGTCTGGTTAATATTAATGGAATATTTCTGAGGTTTAATCACTATTCTCATACCATCCTGATCTGACCATTCCCAATCTGGCCCTCGCACCACTCGGGCACCTGGGAAAATGCCCAAAGAGCGGCATTTTATGGCACCAAATCGACAAGGAACTTCAATCCTGAAATGAAAAACAAGGGGTAAAAACTTTCTTTATTTTTATCGGTAATATTTTCCTTTGATACATCTTACTGTTTTGTCCCAGCAAAGTGTCAAGCATTAGAAGCCTCATCTAAGGAAGCCATATTGCAATGACGATCACTGATCTCCATCAGATATCTATGTGTTTTATTTCTCCATGGACCAATCAATAAAAGTTTCACAGGACATTTCTGACGGCCCCTAGAAGAAAGCACTTTGCAGTCATAGAGCAGTGGCAAAAGCCATTCCGAGATGCCCTCATTCTTGCATTCTAGAGAACCGAGTTATTTTTGCATTTCTCGCAGCAGTTAATTTGACTTTTAATTAAATTTTAAAAATTTGTTGATTGTGGGTAGGCTGCTTGAATGCTGGAAACATACATCCACTTACATGCAACATGGTGGCATCAATGTATGTTTTTCGAGGGTTAATATTTGGAACTGGGCAGAATTTTGTTCCAGTTAAAAAGGAACATTATTTCTGTGCTATGGAAAATTATTTATGTTAAGTTTGCAAACTCTCCATTATGTCCAGCTTTGTAAGTCATCTCCCTATTTTTTTGACTGTTCAAAAATTTGCCCGCTGGAAGACAAATTTCTGTATTTTTAAATGCGGTCAGAATAAATGAATGAATGTGGTTTTGTACCTTTGCAAAATTAAATTCAACATTTGGTAGTTAACTTTATAAAGGTTGGAAAGTCCATGTTTGTTGAACAAATTGTATCCCACTCAATGTTCAGCCAAGCGATAGTAATTGTTCACTGCTGTGATCTTGCACTGAACAGATAAACAAAATTCCCCAGTGTCACCTGAAACCTGATATCACCTTAACTGAAGTCCAGGTGGCTGAACTTTCTAGTAAATGAGAATTCATGGCATGGGTAAGTACATGTACTTTGTAAGTGGACATCATTTGAGGTTGTCATTCATGAAGCACAATCAGACACAATCATAATGAATGATGAGTAACTTCTTTTCAGGCAATGGATGGCATTTAATGCAAACGTACATCCACAAAGCACAAATATTTGTCAAAATGCTTAATTTCTTAAAATTATTTGACCAAATGTACAAATACCCATATTCCTATTGACATGCAAATTTAAGTCAAAGTTTACACTGTAAAACATTACTTTGCACTGCACAATGCACAGTAAATGTGTGTAACAAACACTTAAGTTTAATGTTAATTAGCACTGTCAGTACCTACTGTTAATGCATGCAGTGAAATTGTATTAGGTGGCACAAACTATGCTTGTATGTGATCCGAAGCACGACCGTGTCACAGTCTGGTATACACAATACTTAATTGCATTGTTAAAGGTACATGATCACGATTATTTACCAATTTGGGGAAAAGGCTTTTCAACCTGTCAGACATTGTACCCCATGCACTTCAACAAAATACTTACCCTGGAACTGAGTTGGATTCAATCCTTGTGAAGCGATGTCCCAAGTCATGCTTGCCCTCATTGTAACAGCCATGACACAAGTCAAAGTCATGACACTCCAGACATTTCCAGCGGATTCCCACAACACCGTTCTCATGACAGCCATCACAAATGATATTTGGATGCTTCACTCCTATTGGGAAGTGCAGACAATATCACCACTGAGTGGCATAATCAAATACAAAATTTAGACAAATTCCCTAAGCATTCAACTTCTCTCAATCATTTCTCTTTAAGATTAAAAAAAAAGTACTGTTCACGCGTTGCTTTCTTCTACAGGAGTGGACAAGAGTGGAAGGGGCTTTCCTCCCCACTGAAAAGAAAAATATATCTGGACGTCCCAATCAAAACCCAAAACTGCAAAAAGTATTGTGTGAAACTACAAAAAGTTTAATCCTTTCAAAAAGGTTGTCCAAATGTCACTTTTCCTGTCAAATTCCATAATTCAAAACTAAGCTGACAGTTTCTCAAAAATTAAAATACTAAACCTGAGCTTCCCTTAAATTGAAACAGTTGTGTAAGTGCATTTTCTGGTTTTTTTTAACTTTATTCTTAAAACGAAATCTTAGTGAAATGGGAGAGTACCCTATTATTTCTTTGTAAGTTACCAATTGAAATCAAATTTAATCAACGAAATTTGCAATGATCAACAGCAGACCCACAGAGTGTCAGCTTGCCTACACCGAGTCAATCAGGTTTGAGCTCAATGTCTTATTCAGAAAGAGGTGCCCAGAGTATGTTCCGTGAAATACAATGAAAGTTGGAACTTCCTGGTTCAAGAGGTGGGTGCTTTGCACTCCAACAGCTTTTATACACAATGTACTGCACACTGGGCTTTTTATGACTTGTTCAATCATAACAAAGTGAAATAAAGCAGGCCCTAATAACATGGCACAACGTTTTTCTTCCAGCTACACTACAGTTATTGGCTCGCTGGAAATATTTGTACACAAATTTACTGTTAAACGTATGGTACCGGTTGCACAGTACATCCCAAGAGCATCTCTATCAGCTACTAGATTTGTGCTGTTGCACCAGTGCATAGCCTGTTATATTTACTGTATAGTGATGATTCAGAAACAAAGCACATTGCATCCTAAACACAAAAGGCTTATCTACACACGGGTTCAAAATTTGATTATTGTATGCAGGCCCGGTTCCCTTAAGTACAACTATAAGCCTTGTTTTCAGCTTTTAACATAATCCTACTATATTTGACAGTCCTTTCCAAATATTGAAATAACAATGACATATTTCCAGTGTAGATAAATATTTTAAAATAAGACCAAAAGATGTGGATTTTGTTCACCTAAACTCTTTGTGACTCATGAAAGGTAAGTGCCACTGCAAATGGTCCATTCATCACTGAGGTTTGGATAAGGTAAATCAAAACACAAAAGTCTTCAACAAAGATTGAAATGGAGAGGTTGAACTTAACCTAGTGGTAATTTAAATATATCCACCAGCTTTACAGTCTTGGGCCAAGATGACAGAACTCAATAGCGGACTCGATCGAGCATATGGTGCGTATGCCGATGTCTATTGCGCCCTCTCGTGACTTCATTTCACCAATCGATGGCTTGTTCTACAGTCTTGGGAATCTCCTACAAACCGTTGACTTTTTCTTTACTTTTCCTCCAGTTTTCCGGAGGAACCAATCAGTGCTCAGGAAATTCCAGTTAAATCAGTATGTGATGAATATGGATCCATTTTCTGCATCACATGACCTATCACACGATATAATGTACATGTGCAAGCACTACCACGCCATGCTAAAGGTACTACTAAAGTACCAGTACTGTCACCATTGATAATGATGGCTGCAGTAGATGCATTGGAACAAGGTGCAAAGAAGTAAGCATGGCTGTAGAAGACTTCCTACTACAAAACTAAAGAAATAACAAGCTGACACTATTGATGCGAAACTGCTTCAATGCTCTCACGGTCTGATTTATATTTTATTTCGCATCCTAGGGTCAATTGTGAATATTCATATTAAACTACTATTTTGCACACAAAGGTCACACCTTGGTTGTAGGAGATTCCCAAGACGGTAGGACGAGCCGTTGATTGGTGAAATGAAGTCACAAGAGGGCACAATAGAAATCTGTGCGCGCAGCATATGCTCGATCGAGTCCGCTATCGAGCTCAGCTGTTTTGGCCCAAGACTACCAGCTTTAGGGCTAGGAAATGTAGGGAGTCAATTAAAGATAAAACAGAAGCTTGGCATACCTAACTGGGCATTGTCATAAATCCGTAGATCATACTTGCCACTGGCTCCCCCAGCGCGATAGTTAGCTGCACTGCCTGAGTCCCATCGTACCCAAACTCCTGAGGCTGAAAACATGGCAATTAGATAGTCAGTAAAAACTTCAGCTTCTGAAGTGAAGTATTAACTTTTACTTGAAAAGTTGTGCATTCCAGCAGAGAGTTCAAGAGCACCAATAATAACAATACTTTATTTATTGATATTATCAATTTGGGGGTTCCCCAACATTTTCATTTTTTGAACCTTGTTTTGTTATTAATTTAAAAATTCTACCCTTTAGAGATGAGCCTTGGTCCTGTTTAGACAAGAAACAGACCCAGTAAAAAGCTTGCCTGCAAATACATGTTTGTTCATTTAGAAAGAAGTCCATATTGATGCCAGCTTGACATCCACCTGTGCACAAACCCTAAATGCATCAGAATGTATGGAAAATTTTCTAGAGTTTTCAAGTCTAGGTGAATACCTTTAAGGCAAGTAATATCTTCACTGCTAAATAAATTTTCTTTTGAACATTTTATTGCTTTCAGATGTTAATGTTACTACAGGGAAAATAAGCGGTGTCTTACTGTACTACACGGAATTCTTTCACTTCATTGTTCTTCTTCTAGTACATTTACCAATTTGCTTCTCATCATCCCTGAAATGGTTGGCTGTCTGCTTGAATCATGCCTGAATGTTTATGAGGATTGGTCAACTTTTCATTGTTCAAAGTCACGGTACAATCAATGAGGCCGGCCCTGACTACGCATAAGCCAAATAAACAATATTTAAAGATTAACCATGAGAACTTTCAGAGCTCTTTATCTCATTCATTTCAAAATATAGCTGCCCAGCTGATGTGACGTTTATTCAAAACCTTTTTGCCCCAAATGTTATGACAATATGAATACAAGTAATCTCATACTTACTACTGTTCTTGGCTTGTGCCGGGACTACCGTGCCAACGCAGCCAGATCCCCCGTCCTGATCACCCCATTTCCAGTCCGGCCCTCGTACAACCCTTGCACCTATGAACATGGCTTCCGCTTCGATCTAAGGGTTTCACCCACAACGATCGAAACTCCTACGATTTTTCTGATCCTTAAGGCTTAAGATCAAAGCTAACGTGTCTCTAATCAAATTTCCAGCTCGGGGCACGAAGGTTCGACCCAGTAGTGTGGAAATGGCTTCGGATAGCAAGACTAAACAATGGTAGGCCCTACTGTAATCCACCAATGTCGACTGTCGCCAGTTCGTGGGTAATTCCCGAAAGGGGATTCCCCGGCCGTGTCTATTTTTTGAAGAGTGGAAAAACCCAATTGCAATGTGCCGTTCATGGAATTTCCTTATTTAGCGCAGTTTCATCGTACGTAAAACATTACCTGGTTCTACACAGGTGTGAATTATGTATAAGTAAATAAATTTGAAAATTTGATAATGTATTTTGGACAATTAAAATGTGTATAAATATGCGTCAGAGACCGAGGGATTAGATAATTACGGTGTTGACGGAATCTTTGGAATTCCTGTCAGATTTCCAGTGGATGCACTGGTATATAGATTGTACACCACTTTGGAGGTCCCCCTTTGCCACATATCGTGCTGGGTATACATGTACAATATTGGCACCAGACCAACGTTGGCCTACGCATGGCCGTACGTATACGACGGTTTAGTTGGATCATGCAGGAACTATTCCTTCCTCAATGGTTGGACGGTTATCCGCGCCGCGCCGCGCCGCGCCCCGGGCTGACCGAGTCCTCTTGAACAAATTCACCGACATACTAGTTCTCCTACACTGCAGACTGCTTTAGCTTCCTCATACCTCCATGATGCACATAGCGCACACGTCAAAATATAAATGAACCTGCAAAGCCGATCTTTTCCACAAAACTCAGACTGGCTTTGTAAATTAATTAAGAGCCATCATTTTCCACGGGAGTGATTTGATTTGAACGAATCCAGGGTGGCTGAGTAGAGAATGACACCATATGACATCTACATAAACTGAAAACCACTTATTGATCCCTTCTTCGTCCCCCTTTTTCATTTTCCATTTTTCCAAGGGGGGGGGGACAATCGCCCCCTACCCTCTCAAGCAGCAGCGTATTGGTGTGTGTGTGTGTGGGGTGGGGGCAAATCCAAAAGTGAATGCGCCTTAAGTTCGGGCTCGTTATGTGGAGAAAAAAAAATCAAAAGCTCACGGTCCCGACATCCTTGCTTTTATTTGCTAATCTTGTTTCCTAAGGGATTTGGTATCATTATTTAATAAATAACTAACTTTCCTACTCATCCCCCCCCCCCCCCCCCAGATATGCCACTGCTCTCAAGGCCGACGACTCTGGTCTATATATTACACGTGTAACGGATGGTTTGTATACAAGTTGAGGTTTCAGTTAAAAGATGACATCATTCTCGTTTATGTACAGGCGCAGAAAATGCGCCAGACCAGTCTGCTGGCATCTGCATGAGCAGCATTAGCATAATAGCTGCGTGGTTCCCTTAGCTTAGACTTGACTCAAGTCGGGATCTTCCGTTACGTCTGTGTTTATTGCTCTGGATTATGAAGGCCGCTTGCAAACTCGACTTCGGACAACTCGACCGTTGAGCCAACTCGACCGTTTGCCAAGTCGTCCGTGAGGACAACTCAACTTTGACAGAGAGACAACTCAACCAGTGAGATCTCTTCACATAATACAGTCGTTTTCCCAGTTCAAGATAGCAAAATTATTCAGTCAGATTGCAGCTCTACAAACATCCTCGAATTCCAGTGAAATGTGGTCACCATCCACCTTGTGCGATAGCGATACCACGGTTACCACCAAATCTGTTTCAAATTTTAAACTTTTAATTCGGACGTACGGGATCGACGAAAGTGGTGACTCTTTTTCTCGTTCTGGATCTGTTTCCGGAAAGTAACCACTCGAGCGGCAAATCTATTTTCAGCCAGAACCATTCCAAAAAGCTTCTTTTCTAATGAAAAATTCTTCAATTTAGAAAACTTGGTTCATAGATAAGAATTCAAATGAATTTTAAAAAAATGGATCCTGTGTAAATTTCGACTCAACTTTTTCAACTGCACAACGCAAGCCATCAACAATACTACTTCGTGCCGCACAGCTGACGAACCCATTACGTCACATATATTTCTGCAACGTCAGTTCTCAAAGTATATTGCGGGCATTCACTAGTAATGCGTGATCCAAAACTTGGAAACAATATGCGTTCAGTTTTCGGCCAGTTTTACTAAAACGCAATAAAACGTTTCAAAAAACGAAAGTCATTTTGATTAAACAGACATTAGATGCAAGAGTTTATATGACTGTTGGGTATGAAAAAAGGATTTGGGGTCACTCGTAGTGAGTGATATCATCCTAGACTATTCGTCATTTTCAAAATTTGTCAAAATTGAAACCATCTTCTGGCCATTGTCTTGAATTTCCAGTGAAAAAACGTGGCGCTATTTCGGTCTTATTTTCCAATGTTTTCTATGGGCGCACGCGTATTTGGCGTAGTGCAACCATTGATCTCCGTTATAAGACTGAATAGGTCATCGCCCATTGTGTGTGTACAAAATGTGCGGCCATACAATGGAGGTGCGCTGCGTTTCAGGAGGGTAATGTGATGCTGTATGGTACGCATCTAGTCAAAATTGATTATGGAGAAAGAATTTCTAATGCAAGAATATCATTTCTGTAATTAACAAACCATTTTCTTATTAAACAACCCACTCGAAACTGGTGATAATTAACCTGTTTTTTTTCTGTTTAATTGTTTTGATTTTTTTCTTCATTTTTCACACCTCTTGTCTAGCTACGGTCTTGCTCAGGCAATGTTGTCACTTTGGGTCGGTTCAATCGTGATTTGTTGAGTGTGTAAACATCTAAGTTCCACCAAGACCCACAAAAGGTTTTACATTATAATGTCCAAACTGTCCACGTGTTTTTCCGTCTGGTGTCAATGAGTCAACACTGAAAAACTTCACCAATTAAATGAAAAAAGCCTTAATTTTAAAGACTTACAGGAAACACTGTACTGAAATTCATTCATATACTGAATAAATTTATTAAAAACTGACAAGCGTGAGAATCTTTTCTGTGAGCACAAATTGAGCGGAACTTTGACTGCGAGCCAAACTAATTAAGTTTGTGCCACTTTCATCACAGCAGTTATAAATCAAATAAAAACAACTGAGTTCCCAACTTGACTAAAGATTTACATTAAACATTAAACATTTCTGAGAAGAAAAAGGGAAAAAACAGTAAAGGTGCCCTCTATAAACACCATGAAGCAAAGGGCGACAGCACACGACTCGTCGCGTGTCGTGTCGTGCTTGAGGAGACGTAATACACGACACGACGCATGACACGAGATACGGCGCGAGGCACGACGGTACGACTCGACGGGCGACGGAAGGGGGAACGTTTAGGCAGAAAAAAAATGCAAAAAGGAAGGGACCTTAGACAGCACGGTGCGGCGGGTGACGGCACGATGCGACGTGTGTGTACAAAAGTAATGGCAAGAAGGCGGCGGTGACGGCACCACGCAAGGGAGCCGTCGTGCCGTCGCGTGGTGTAGTTGCGTCGCCTGGAAGGAGGCCAGTGAGAGAGGGAAATGTGTGTCGTAAATAGTACGCCATAAGACAGAAACCGTGCTTTTTCTGGAATGCTCTTTACGGAAAACACGGCGATTGGATGAGGAAGCGGCTATCCTGAGCACGATAGCCATGGCGACCGGGTCGTGCGTGCACAAGTTGTAATTGTGTGAATTTACTGGGCTTGGTGGGGGCTAGTGGCTGTGGCTTCCAGCATACGTGGCGCTATTAACCGGAACTACTTTCGACACTGTTCGTGAGCTGCGGCGCGGTGAGATGGCATGATGCCAGTGTAGAGATTTTCCTTCCTCTACAAGTCAGTGCTACACCGCTCCGTGAGACTGAGAATTACTACGCGTGCGAGAAGTCTGAAAAATAAGGATTGCTCCCTCATCCGATTTCTTGCAGAAACATAGCTCGGTTGACCTTAAGTCTCATACATGTACCTTTAACAACTTGATGAAGGGCTAAAAAAATCAGTTTTGTGTAGACTGAATTCATAAATGTAACCCGAAAATAACTTTTGTGTGGCAAACGAGGGGAGGCAAATTACCCGGAAAGGACAGATAAATCTGTATATTTTTACCCACCTAGGTGAATCTATCCCCCCAATTATTTTGCATGCTCGAATGGTGACCCTAGCCGCCCCATGGCGATTTCACAGCTTTTGCCGTGTTCCCCATCAATTGTGTCCGCTCATCGTGTGTGCGCTACCGCCACAATTAAGTCGGCAAGGAAATCAGACACTGGCTCCGCAACCTAAGCAGTTATTTACTTAATTACATGTAAGTAACCGTAACGTAGCCGCCGTATGTACAGTACATGTAGTTGACTTTATTGGTCAAGCGTACTGTTCTTACTCCCACTAATTCA